ATTGAAGGTAAATCTACTTTAGAAGCAGCAGCCAAAAGGTTTTTATTTGTGCAAAGTGCAGAGCAGTCAGATGGAAATTATTTTGGTATCAGTAGAAAGGCACATGAAAAGAGCAGATGGTCCTCAGCAGACTATAGGGTACAGGCTTTGTGCGATGCTAAAGGGTAACTGCTGACCGAGAGTGTGCCTACAGTAGATCTAAGGTTTTAAAAGAAAGCAACCCATAAGATCACAAGTTAGATTTTAGACAATTAGATCGTATGGATTGTGACAAACAAGGTGTGCCGTGTATTATATTTGTATTATATTTACGGATTTCTGTGAATAGCTCCAGTCATATATTTAGTACTGTTATGCCTAAATATGCAGAGTGAAAGCAAAAGGAGGCAGTTATTAAAGAATAAACAAGAAATGAGAATGAGGCAAGGTGCTTTAAAAGACCAGTGGAATTATTATCAACTAGTATTTATCTAATTGACTCCAAAAGGACTTGTTTTCTCAAAGTAAGGAATCTGTGAGAGAAGTTTGCTTTAAAGAACATGGACAACAGCACAGAGAATCAAAAGGGACATTTCAGAAATATACGCATGGAATACTTATCTGACTGGTTGTGTCTGTACGGAAATATCAATAACACAAAGGAGTTGCACAATCCTACTGTTCATTTACTTAGGGTTTTCAGCTTCAACCACTTTGTACCTCTGCAAAGATGGTGTGGGTGCCAGGCACACTGCTTCCACACTTAGCAGCAAAGCATTGCAATTACTTTCTAGTCTTCTACACTGTTACCATTGAGGAATTCCATTTACACCAGAACTTGATTTATCCAATCCTGCATTTTTCATCCATAAAAGTTTACTTTTGATTACTACATTCTGAATCATATTCTCAGACTGTGGTTAAATGTCACAGCAGTGAGTCCGATCAGCTGTAACAGGTTTCATGAGCTGACAATACATCCTCCTGATCTAGCATCTTATTTGCTAATTATAAATAAAACTGAAAAGTATTCAGATAATAGCTATGCTTGAAGTCATATTAGGGAGAGCACTTTTGTTTTGTAATGTAGTTTAAACAAATCCACTATGAATGCTGTCAAGGAGTAAAAAAAAAAAATCAAAACTCTTTTAGCTCTTGTGCAAAATTTTTAAAAATTTTTTCAATTTTTTCAATTTTTGGCACTACACATACCCAGATGCAATGAATGAAGCTGAGGTGCATCCTTGTCCCTGTTTGTGATGTTACCTCGCAAACTGGCATCATATTCCAGCAGCACAATTTCCTGCACTGATACTGGACTGCATTACTCAGGAGATGACAGATGGCATTTTGCTAAAAGACAAAAATGAGCACATGCTGACTGAAGATTAAATGATTCTTACTTAGCAATTCTCATGCAGCAATCTGAATCTTGCTGCACGAGAATTCCATTTTCTCTAAGGTCCAGAACTTCAGCTGGCTTAAACACAAAGGTTGCCCAGCAAACACTGAACACAGAAGAGAGATTTTGGGGCTTTTAAAAACTTTGTTTTATTTAAATAGAATTAGTCCTTAGACATTTTGCAGAGAAATAGTAAAAAGATCTGTCCTGAGATAGGCAACGTCTGTCATGCTCTAATGTACAAGAATGTGATCTCAGTGCTGTAGCATGAGGACTGTGCTCCTTTCTGTTTTTCTCACTTGGAAAAACAAAAGATGAAGCAGTTGGAGCAATTCATCTCAGTTCTGTAAGTGGGTATGCCAGCTTGACTGTAAAAAGCTTATCTTCAACTCCCATCTTCAGAGACCTGCCAGCTCTCAAATAAACAATCCTGCTATAACCAGGAGCAGGTAGCTACCTACAGATGCCTAGAATGAAACAAAAGAAAACCAAAACTATTGGATAGGAAAAAGGAAGTTAAAGCTGATTTTTGTTACCAATTTCTTTCATTTCTCAGCTTCTCTTTGTTTTGTCTTTACTTTCACATGTTGCATTTTAAGAAAACTCTCAACACTGAAGTTAAAATCCACAGGGCCATTTTTGCCACAGGAAGACATCATGGGTGTCAAAATCCCTTTTAAGCCTTTAACTTAATCAGTTGGTGTTCTTCCATTTTCTCTCAGAATGTAGAAATTCAGAATATGATTCTATTCTCCAGGATACAATGTAAAATGCGAATAACAAATTCATTCACTTTTTTGTCTTGGATCTGCAATTCCAGGACTTTGTTTCCAAAGCTCCCTGTACACCCTTTTTAATATATTTTAAGGATTATGCTGGATTTTCACAAGTCATCAGCAGCAGGAGACCTTCCAAGAGCCTGGTGAAAGCCCATCAACAGTCAATGAAACAGAAGCTGCTAAATACTAACCCCAGCTGAAAAATCAGGCAACTAAGTTTTGCTGATGTTCTCGCACCCGCTGTGCTTATTTAACACTGTGGGGGTGGATCCCACTTTGCTAAAGGAATGGAAACATGCACCACGCTGGCATTTTCATCAGCTCTCCTGATTTAGAAGCACGTTTAATCGATTTTCCAAAACAGCCTGTAGTTTTAGGACTGGTCTCACGTTAGCAATCCCGCTAAACAAACACTGTTGCTGAAGGTTCCTGTTTCTCCTTGGAGTTTTCCACTTCATCAGTTGAGCTGATTTAACAGCTTGCGTGGTCTAAATCAGATCTGTATAATGATCTGGTTTAAATTAGCACTGGAGGAGGAAAGAGTGGTAATCTCTTGGAACAGGATGTGGCTGGCAATGGATGAGAATCTGGCACAGCAGAGAAGTGAAAGACCTTTACACTGGTTCTGTATCTAAACAACCTGTGACATGAAAGTACACGCCTGTCAGTCACCTTCAGTATATTGGAAAAAAAAACCCATATCAATTGGCAAATAAATTATGAAAAACCCAAAACTATGAATACCTATAAAAGAGCAACTAAAGTGCAAAAATAATCTCACTGTTAGCAAGATACTTCAATTTCAGAGTCTGTGACCAAAGTATCAGGAGAAGCATCCCAACAAGCAAATCAATTTTCTACTTCATCAGGAGTTTTCCTGCAGGAGGACATGTGTGCCAAGGTAGTCTAAAATCACTGTGGTGCTGCAAACTACCCATTATTAAAGACATTCAAATCTTCAGAAACCCACCTGCTTTTCAGTTACCGGCAGGATAAACCTGCTACTCTCCCAGTCTGAAAATAAATGGAAACATCAAAACGACTGTCCAAGAATATTTAATCCTATGAATCCCATTTATATACTCCCTATGAGTAGGCTGGCTTCAGAGCCAGTTCATTATTTTACATATTTTTTACTTTCAAAAAATCCAGCCTCTTCCAATTTTTTTGTCTTTTCAGTTTCTCCTCATTATAGCATGCATAAAAAGCTGCAGGGAAACTTCTTACAGTTTCTCTACAGTAGAAGATGGAGGGTCCATTTGAAATGAGATGAAGCAGAAAGTGAAGAACATTCTATCATCAATTTAAAGGAAAGAAGCAAGAAACTCATCTGATCAATCCATTTGATTTCCAAATCAGACATTTTGCCACAGTAAATTAACTTTTGAAAAATGAACAAGAGAACAAAACTAGGTACTAGCACACCTTATTCTGGAGCCTTGAGCACTTCAAACAGTGACAATCTTTTTAACGTTTGAAAGAACACTGTTGTTTAGTTACACAAGCTTCTCAGTGGTCCAATAAACAGCATTATCCTACTTTTCTCATTTCCTCAGACTGTAACATTTTTTCAGCCTTCTCCATTCCCAACATCTACATATTGTGATCCACTGACTGGGAGTCACATAGATCAAAGAAGTAGTGCATTACTTTTATGTACTAAAACCAGAAAGCCATGAACTGCTAGGTCTCATTATTAGCCAAAAGAAGCAAAACGTCCCGCTGGAAAACCACAGTCCATTATAAATCTACTGCATTTAGAAAAAAAACACAATTCTCTGGATTTTTTTTTTAACTAAAATTTTTTGTTTACTAAAAATGAAATAATTAGGCCTTAATTTTTTCTTTTTTGTTCTTTTGAATGCTTCTGCATTTGTGCTATAGCTACTTTTCTGTCTTGTCTAATACATAAAGAACGAGGGAAGAAAGGGAAGGATACAGAGAAATAGAGAATCTATTAACTAAACACAGCACTGTCCAACAGAAATGCAGAACAGTCGGGGTAATGCTCCACAGCATGGTACAGTGACTTAATACCAAACTACAGAGAAAGATGTACGTAGAAAGAGCTCCAGATGATGAGAGAGACACTAGGGGATGAAAAAAAAACCCCACAACCTTGAATAATCGATTATTATCATACAGCTCTACTACTACAACTATTGTCATTCAGTTTCAAAATCTTTCTTTCTTTCTGGTCAGTTGATGACATTAGGTTCAGAGTTATAAAACCCATTTTTTCACACTATAGGCAGGCCTATTATTTCTCATCTTAATGTTAACCTGAATAAGACTTAAATAAGGAGCAAGTTTACAGAGTTCAGGGATGGAGGGGAACTAGCAACCAAACCAGACAAACAAAAAATTCCAAAGTTATACAACCCTAAATGCAATAGACAAAACACAGAAATTCTGAATTTTCATGTTATGAAGATACTTAAGAAATTCATGAAATTATAGTGTTTTTCCTTGGAAGCATGATGGTTTGCTAGCCAAAGTGCACTTATTATTTGCAAAAAAACCAAAAAAATACATAATTTTGCAACACAGAGCTTGGCATCTTTCTTAGCTCTGAATAACTGCAAATGAATTAAGGTACACGTAGAAAGTTTTACATCAAGTTCTATAAAAATCCTATGTACCTTCCTGTGCAGAACAAAACTCACAGTGAGAACACCATGTCTTCAATTCCCTTCAAGAGTTCACACAGCCCAGTTTTATACTGATGTACCTGTTTTCTCTCATTTGTAGGTATCAGCCATTACACATTTCAACCGCTCTTCTTTAGTTTCTATCCTTGAAATGAAGTATAGGCAGAATTCTGTTCAGCAGTTACCTACCATCAGAATGAGTACACTGAAGGTTGCTGGGGACTGGTATCTGCTGGGTGAAGAAAAGTTGATGTCTTTTTCTGTAAACTACATATCTTCAAAACAATGCCGTTGTAACCTAGGCAAAAAAAAAATATATATATATATATATATTTGGACTTCAAATGTCACTTAATTAAACAACAAAATTCAGACAACTGACATGTAACATCTTATTTCTGTTTTCAAAAAGGTGGAAACCAGACAGTGGATTCCTTCCCTACTGCATCATGTTCAATTTCCAATCCAAATGACAGAGTTGGTGGCACACATATAATCACCTTGGCAGTGCTCTGAGGAATCACTTGTCACATCCTGGCAGTCTGTGACTGGTTAGGTCTTCCAGCTGGGGAAAGAAAAATGCATTTGTTGTCTTTTGTTTTTTAAAACACATGTGGCTACATAGATAATTAAAAAAAAGATTTTTTATGCAAATTAGACTTTACAGCTGTGAAGAGACAACTGAGTGACACTAAAACAAAATAAGCAAAGCCCTACAGGAAAAGAAAATAAAGACAGCAGCAATCCAGTTTGAATGCTGAGTTCAGATGCCAGGTTACTAGAGATTAAATGTAAATGTTCCGCAGAGTTCACAAATTATTTTGTGGGCAGACGATGGGGAAAAGGAAATTTGAAATTTTTTTCCATGTTTATTTATTTCTTTGATATGTGTACGAAAAAGTACAAGTACCAGGAGAGTGAAAACAATCTCTGTCTACACAATGCATCTACACACAGTGCTTGGTTCTACTGGCTTGTGCCCTAGGCACTGAACTAGTACCAAGCTTTCTACCAGTTGGCACAGTGAGTACTTTGCTACTGGCTGCTCTTCCAAATTTAAAATGCGACATCAAGTGTGCAGTTCAGATAAGAAAACAGTGCTAAATTATCCCTCACAGAAACACATCTGTGGCTTACAAGAATGCTGTCATTTTATCCCTTTCCTCAAAACTTTTCTAAAGATATCAGAGCTGATATTTGGAGGCTTATTTAAACACAGTTACTGTTAAACATTTCCTTCTGGATAAAGTAACACCTTTTATCTGAAGCCTACTTTACTCATCAGTTCTCCAACCAGTGACATAGGTAAAGCATTTCCACATAGAAATGAGGAATGGAGACAGATCCTCATTAAAATCAATTGGTGTTAGTTACAGGGCAAATACTGCAAATTTAAGGTTTGGGATTTAATGCAAGTACTAATGGAACTAAATCCAGACCCAGTTAGTTTCTTACAAACTTGAGAATACAGTAGAACTGGTTGAACTGACTGCCAAAAAGAAATGGGTTTATGATGCAATATGCAGATATAATCCTGTACAAAAAAAATTCATTTCCTATAAAAGTAGCATTTCTGGTGAAACTACTGGGGTTCAGTTTTGTGAGGAAAATAGGAATGTTTCCAAAAAAAGGTTTCAATAAATACAGAATTTTCCAGAGGGAAAAAAAAAAAAAAAAAAAAAAAAAGAAGTTGTAATTAAGAATAATAATTCTGTAGTAACTTGCAAAATCAGTGATTTAAAACTCATGTAGGTGAGCTATAAGTAAATAGTTCACAGACTCTCAGTCATTGCAGGAAGCAAAGCAGTTCACTATTTGTGTTATATTCAAAGCCCATTTTAATATGCTACTAAACTGTTCATAACAGGAGCTGATGCAAAGAGACGAAAAATGTCACCATGTCTTGAACAGCAACCTGATGTGAATAATCACACAACAGGACTTACAATTGGAAATGACTGGAATGTTATAAGTATGAGTAAAAAAAGCTCCTTCTCCTGCATGTATAATTTACCTCTGAAACTGATTAATTCATGACTGTATCTGTCCAGTTCCTCTGAAACGAGCATGGGCAGTTTTTCTCCTACATATGAGACAAGGTTTAAGCATTCTATACATTATCATAGTCACTTAAATTCTGTAATAAAAACTGAATGATAGCCCTTTTATTGTAACAACAAACAGGAGCTAGATGGAAGCACCAGGAATCCACTGTGGGTGCAAGCTGTGATCCTATATCCAAGGCTCAAAAAGACTGATTTCAAAAGCAGAATTGTTGAACATTGGTGGTAGGCTGCCATTATAAAAGTTACATACTGTATAAACACAGGCAGCAGTCAGTTTCAGCATTGCAATCTTAAAACCAAACGGAGTTTTTACACAGATTTAAATGAGCATTGGATTTCATGACAGTAACCTCAAGATTTTTCTATTGCATTTTAGCTGAGCAAAAAATTGTCATCATGTAAGTATCCAGTATGTCACTTTTTGCAATGCCATACCGGAGTTTCAAACAAAGCTAGTTAGACATACTCACAATGTTTCATTGTCCACCAGCAACCAAAATAAAGACTGACAAACTCTCTCTTACTCACTTAGTAACAGAGGACTTGAAAAGACAGCAAAGGAGAGAGATGGAAAAATCAAACCAGAGAAAAAAATTTAAACATAAGTAAGTTTTGAAGTTGAATCATCAGATATCAGTCCACAAAACTCCACTGATTTCAAGATTGAGTGAAAGAACCCATAAACCTGGAAACAAATGCTGACTTCTGCTCCCCATCTCTAGACAACACCTACAACAGGTAACAGAAGTCCACTCCTTACCCTGGGAAACAAGACAGGACTAAGCAGCAGGAGAGCTGGAAACCTGCTTACTTGCAACATGCTAAACAGTGAAACAAGGCCATCTACTGTACTCCACCTGAAAGTTCCTGAAATTAAGGAAGAAACTATTGGATGGTAATTTAATTGCTCCCAATTCTGCGTTGGGAAAGTTTTGCCTTCCATTAGACGCTAGGCTATCAGTTCTCTTATTCATAGAATTATGTTTCATTGTGAAATGCCAAACAAATATTTAGACGTACCACATCCACTTGGTATATTCAATAATGAGTACTTTTTAACTCCACCTGGCTAACTCGCAACTTCTGTCTCACCAGAAACATTTTTTTTTTTCCTTTTTTTTTTTTTTTTTTGTTTGTTTGTTTTTGCTTTTAAAGCATCATGAGCTCCATCTGGTGGATATTCTGTAGAACACATTTTCTGGAATGTGAAGCACTGTGTTTTCTAATACTATTTTGTTTTTCCTCCTTCGGGAAATATAAGAATTTAAAAGTCTAACATTTAACATCGAATTAAATTAACCTTTTACATTATATTAGCTTGATAAAAAGGTTACAGATCTGCTGAAATGCCCACCTTTGTTTGAAAGATGAAGAAACAAAAAAACCCAAACCCTATGCTTCTAAGGAAAGGAATTTAATTGCTTCACGACTTTTCCTAAACTGTAATGTACTGGTATCACACACAATCATGTTGGCACTGACTGTGAAAACAGCTTTTCAAATGAGAAAATTAAATATATACGTAACATAAATTTGATCTAAGTAATGTCAATTGTTATTAGAGAAGTCCTGGAGGGATAAGCAATATTTTTTTATATAAAGAGAATGAGAATATGAAATGCAGATCAGCCGCAAGTCAGAATTAAACACAAAACACAGTTGTAAATATCTGATTCTGCCCCTCTCGTCCTGGCCGTGATATCCTGTGGGGTCAACGTGCAAGTTTCTCCATTGGAATAAAGGAAGCAAACATTTAAATCTCTGTAAATACTCTTAACTCCCTGATAATTGTAAAATCACTTGGAGCCCTTGGACACATGGAAGTATGTTATTTGTGTGCAAAATACTTGCGCAAACAGTCCTTACATTTTCACAAGAGCATTCTCAACTGAATTGACAATTCCACGAGTTCTTCATAGCAACGAGTTTTAGAATGTTGATAAATTTGATATCAAGTGCTTTGCCAACATTATTGAAGCTTACTAAAATAAAAAGATGGTGTTGGCTGGGAACATCATCTCCCCAATTGCTGCTAATGGAGCGCTCACTTACGAGGGTCAGTAGTAGTTCAGAGTTCACATATCAGCAGGGTTAAGAACAAAGGAAGATGAATATAAATCCAATAGGATTGATCCCGCTCCTGCATTCTATCTCTAGAACTGAAAGGCCTGTTTACTGCTAAATTTACTCGCCTCAGATGATAGTTAGGTAACGCAGCTCTGTGATCTCTCACACATCAGTAAGTAATGAATCAGCATCTCCTAGATGGTCTCTCAATCAGAGCTTAGCACCTCCCATTGGATTGCTGATCCTCATTTATTCTCATTGCTTAGCTCACTGAGGCCTGTGACAGTACACCAAGTTTTAGCTTTTCATTGGATGAATTCTGATTGCAATTCTTTGCTCTGTGTTGACAGAAATTTGTTAGAAAAAGAAATGTGCTTCAAAGTAGTGGAATGTAATTGAATTAACGAAGATACTAAGAAGCCAGTTAGTAGAAAAATCCATTACACTCATCTGTCTACTGAACACTAGATAATAAATGTGATTGTGCTGACAATCTCTATAGAAGAGCAGAACAAAACCCTTGATCTTTTGTCTTGATTTCCTGGGGACAGCTGAAGGCAGACAATATCATACATTCCCACAGGCACCTTACCCTCTTATCAGCTCATTAGAAAATTAGATTCCACTCACTTTCAAAGGTGAGAGGTGCCATTGATCACTGGAAACAAAAAGATTCTAATCAGCTATAGATCACTACCAGCAAGACCTAAACATAACAGCTACCAGCCTGCCATGCTGTCTTACACTAAGAACCAAATGGAAACTAGCTGCAGTAGACACACAACTCAGACCTCTGTCTAGCAGCCATTTCCCACCTTTCCAAGTTCCTTCAGTGACATGTTACCTGTTTCCACTTGGAACACTTACCACAATAATGTGGCCAACTCATGTTACACAAATCTCCAGAAATCTGACAGATGATGGCGGAATTTCTTTGCTACTTCCTACATTTTAATGTTACATTGATAAAGGGATAACATAATGGGGAAGAGGTTTCTGTCTTTCTTTTTATATTACCCTTTAATTGTCCATCTCCTTACATTTTTGTGGTTGGGATTGTTTCTCCTTCTCCTGACTACAAAGTCTCAGAGACACGGATAAAGGAAAAAAAAAACAACTACAAACCACCCAGGTCAAATGAGCAAAACTA